GAGCGGGTCACAGGCCCGGGCGCGCAGGCATGTCGCTCCCGCGCGGCCCCGACCACGAGTCGCCGCGGGAGCGAGCGTGGGCAGCGGTGCAGACCTGCCCTTTCCTGCCCGGGGGCGGCGGGCGCGGTAGTCCGCCCTTGCCACGCCCCATCCCATAGCCACGGCCCTCGTTTAGGCCCGCCCTAACCACGCCCCTCCCCAGGGCCGTATAACTACTCCCCTCCTAGGGCCGCTCTAACCACGCCCCTTCCCTGTTTTGTCCGTAGCCACACCCTCTCCGGGGCCGGCCTTTGCGTTACCACGCCCCTCGTCCCCTTGCTGTTGCCTGCGGTGACCTCGTCTCTGGCACCAGGGTTAGGGCGTGTCTTAGCCACTTTTTCGCTGCAGGGCGTCTTGGTTGTTTATGGTGGAGACACTCAGAAAATTACGTTGCGCTTTCTGCTGCAGCGATTTACGTTTTCATTACACAGTTGTCCTTAAAGAATATTAATGACTCCTTTGTCCTTCGCAGACTTGTGAAAAGTCCTTGGCCACTGGACTGGCTTAGATTTTATTAACTACCCGGGTCTCAAATTCCCTAGGGTTGCGTTTTAAGGAATTATTCACAGGGCGCAGGGAACTATGCTTTCAGAGTTAATACACTTACAACTAAACTTTCACAGTTTTGGTTTTTTGAGACAAAGTTTCACTATGTAACCCTCAGTCTGGCCTCGCTTCCTAAGCGTTGGAATTAAAGGTATACACCACAACATAGGCTACAGTTTTTGTTTTGGATTAGAGCACTGATAAACATTAGAAGGTCCTGGTGTGGAAACGTAAAACCTGGGGTACGAATGTTAAATTAGACTATTGGGATAATAAAGAGGTACTTGAAACAGGCAGTGTTTAATTCAGAGCTTTTTGAAAGACTGTTACACTTTACGGTTACTGGTCCTTTGTGTAAAATTGAAAAAGTTTGTTGAATGAATGAGTAAAACGCACAAGACACTACTAGGAGAGAGAAAAAAGAAATTGTTGAATGAAAAAAAAAATAAAAAGAAAGGACATAACTGCTCCTAGCTATGGTGGAGGAGAAGGTTTATTATTGCATATAAAAGGGAGATCATAGCCAGAGGCAGAGACATCTGGGAGAGTCCAGAGTGAACGCGACCTTTAGCCGAGCCCAGTGGGGAGAAGGGGAAGGAGAGAGGGGAAAATCAGGGGTATAAAGAGTAGAGGAAAAAGGGGCAGGTACCCAAAATGGCTGGATTAGACATCTGGAGGAAGGGTAGCCCAGCCCCTGTGCTGGAGAAGTTAAGGGTAGGAGCAGGGTGTGACAGCCAGAAGGACCCTGTAACAGGTAAGGACTGAGGGATTCTGGAAGAACCTGGCAGCCAGGTCCACTTTGATGTGTTAGATAGGCACCTGGCATGTTTGTCTCAAGTTTGAGACCTGGAGTTGTGTTCCTGGAGTGATCAGTATTTAGCTAGCGTGTTGGTTTGTTTTTACAGTTAAGGACTGTCAGCTGTACACATACTGATGCAGAATGTGTTTAGTAGGTTGCTGGGCAGTGGAGTGTGTAAACAGAAGGGAAGATGTGCAGGTGACTACAAAGTGCAAATAATTCAAAGTAAGGTACAAGGCAGACACTTAAGAGGCTAGAATATCAATTTGTAGAATGGCAGGTAAAGGAAGGTAGGAGTATCCACTACAGCCTTTTGTGTTGAAGAATTTTGCTCCATACCCTTCTCTGAAAATGTAATCTAAGAAAATAATCCAAAAACATTTAAAAAAAACCTGTTAGTTTAGATCATAAGAATTTTTATTTTTATAGGATAAAAACTATTGAACATTTGGTAATTTCATATAAGTCAATTTAATACACACACAAAGGAAAGACCAGATGTGGTAGTGCGGTCCTGGAATGCCAGAATTCCAGAGGCTGAGGCAGGAGGATCAGGAGATCATCCTCAGTCTTGGCTGCATAGCAAGTTCAAGGCTAGTGTAGAATACACAAGATAGTTTGTGTGTGTGTGTGTGTGTGTGTGTGTGTGTGTGTGTGTGTGTGTGTGTGAAGATAATGTGTCCTGATTTGTGACTGAAACAAACAAATACACAATGTTAGAGGCATGGGTACGTGACAGTGACACCAACAAACTTTAAAACTAACATCATTTTCAAACATTAAAGTCCACAAATTTTATATATTCAATAATAATTGCATTTAACAATTGTATATACCACCCAAATAAGAGCTGGGGCATTTTTATTTCTCTGGAATATTCCTTTGTGTTCCTTTCCAGTTTCTCAAATCACCCAGCAACCCGGCGAGAGGCACCTGGGCTCCAATTTCAACCACCGCAGAGTAGTTTCATTGGTTCTTGGACGTCAGGGAAACCCTACAAAAAGCATTGCCTAGTGTCCAACTCCATCTTCACGTCTGACCTCAGCACAGGGGTTGTGAGAGTCATCTCTGCTGCATTAGTAACTACAGAGCCATCCAAGCTGCATCAATAGCTACTCTTAGCTGAAGTTTTCCTGTGTCCCCCCCCAGTCCTCAGCCACTCACACCCAAGTAAACACACAGAGGCTCATATTAATTAGAACTGTATGGCCATGGCTCAAGCCTTTTGTTATTTAGCTTTTATATCTTAAATTAACCCATTTCTATTAATCTATACCTTGCCATGTGGCTTGTGGCTTATTACATCTTGCTTTTCATGTCAGCGGTGACTGGCAGCGTCTCCTGACTCAGCCTTCCACTTCCCAGAATTCTCCTCTTTGCTTATCTCACCTATACTATACTTCCTGCCTGGTTACTGGCCAATTAGCATTTTATCAATCAATCAATCATAACAACACATTTTCACAACATACAAAAAAACATCCACAACACTACTCTCATTATTAACTACTACCCCATTGTACGACTAACAGTGACCATGTATCCATTCTACTATTGACCACCATGTGGTCTGTTTCCAGTTTGGGGTTACAGTCAGTAAATCATTGTGTAGACATATGTCTTAAACTGTCTTATGGAAAATATCTAAAATTCAAATTGCTAAATCAGATGATAGTTGTAATTGAACCTTGTAGGTATCAATGAATTGCTCTTTCAAAGGGATCACATCCTTTTACACTCTTGCCATGGGATGGGATTTTCAGTTATTTTACATTCTTGACAGGCTTGAGTATTTTTGAGCCTTTAGGGAAGTTGTTACACTGTCTGGCGGTTTTCAGTGTTTATGGACATAATACAGGGCAACTACAAGTAAAGGGCTGAAGACAGGGAGACAAGAGATGGTCAGCATCGATTAAAACATTGATTAAAACATTTTAAAAAAATCTTTAAAAATAGAATATATACTTAATAAATAAATTGATGAATTCAATTAAAAATAGGCAAATACAAATTTTAAATGGATCACAGAAAAGTAAAGAAAAATGAACCATGAATTAACAACATGTCTTCAAGAAACTTGTGTGAGTTATACTGTATCTGGGTTAAAAATAAAGGATGAGGAAAGGGAGGTGTATTTTGTCCTCTTTATGAACAAATAGAATTGCACACTGACAAATAATACATAAAAGCTCTGGCTTTTCTATGACTAAAATGTATCACAATGTAAAAAATGGTGAATACGATAATAAGGAGCAGAACACATTTGGGGGACATGGTGGGGGGCAGTAATGTTTCCTAAAATGCATGTGTCTTTTTAAAGTATGCTAGTAAAAATGTTTAATATATTTGTGTCTATTCCATAAATTAATTTTCTTTCCTTTATTTCAGCAAAATCACTGTTATATTATGAAAAACTTCACATAATTTATTATCTTAGACTAGAGACTACTTAAAAGATTATGGCATAAAAATTGAACAAAATGCTGAGTGACGGTGTCACGCACTTTTAATCCCAGCACATGAGAGGTAGAGGCAGGCAGATCTCTGTGAGTTCAAGGCCAGCCTGGTCTATGAAGTGAGTTCCAGGACAGCCAGGGCTGTTACACAGAGAAACCCTGTCTTGGCAGGAAAAGAAATGAATAAAATTTGAAATATCTAATCAAAAACATTAATTAAGTGTAAAAATATTTAAATTTAAATTGTTTTAATGATTTGCATATATTTCTATTAAAACTCTGAAATTGTTTATTGAAAGACCAAATTATTGCAATGATCAAAATGATTCCAAGTTGATATTTCTATTTAATATTTTAAAAATTCCCTGAAACCTTAGTGAATGTTTTTATATTGAACTGCTATTTGTAGTTGAGTGTCTACTGTCTATCTAGTCACCAAGATAAAGAACTGGACCACTCACTAAACACTGTAAATGTGGTTGAGAGCTTATGTGTCACACCTGTAAATAAAACTCTAAGTTTTGTATCTTTAAGACTAACAAATTAGATATAAAGGTAAGTGAGAAAATGGATGCTTGGCCTTGCAGGAATCAATATTTACTTGGTTAGGCAAGAATCTGTTGCTTTGTCTTGTGGTCTATTGATTGGCCTGTCCTTGCTTGGCGACTTCCTTCTTTTCTTTTATCACAGACATGCTTGGGAGCAGATAACGCACCATGAGCATTTGTTTATAAAACTTTATTATATATTATTTTTATTATCATCATTATTAATTTTATTAACCTTATTGTTTTTACTATTTTATTATTTTTATTATTATTTAGCATGCATGGGTGTTTTGCTTTCATGTATGTCTGTGTACCACACATATGCCTGGTG